CGATCGCTTTTCATTTTAAAGAATCGAAGAAAATAAATCACTTACTAAATCAATTAATATTTTATAAATATTATTACTTATCATGATGATGAATTGACAATATCACATGATTTTCGAAACTTTTTGGGTGGTGTTACGGAACCGGGTCTCTATTGTGTAACAATTACATTTTTAATATGCAATTAGATAGTAATCGTAGTAATTAGTAAAGATGCAGGAAATATGCAATTAGTAAACAATTCGTTATGCAAAGATAGGTGACAGCATAGTAATTAATGCATGCGCATAAGGAATGTAGTCATTAGTGTAGTAATCGTTGGAACAATGGTCGTAAGGGAAGGAGGTATAAAAGGAAAGAGAGAGTTACTTCGATAGTAGTGAGTTGATTAGTTAGTTCTTTGTTTTGTTGGATTAGTTGAGTTAGAGGATAATACTCTGGTAGTATTTCTTGAACGTTAGAATAAATAAAGAAGTCAATTGCTTACTTTCAGTATCTTATATATATAAATACATACTTGGTTCTTTCCCCTTAATGCTTGCAGTCCTCTGCTAAATTGGCTACGTTGTTCTAAAGTCTCTCCCTTGACTGTAACAGTGGCGATTTTACCCCGGTCGGTTTCATGCGTCCGAATCGTGATGTGCATGATTTCGAATCATACCATCGAATTTTTTCTTTTTTAGAATGCACGCATTAATGCGCATGATTCAAAAACTGCACTTTATCCATTTCTAAGTAAACCAATGGAACCAATGGACCTAATAGTTTTGATTTTTTTAACCAAGTATACCCAATAAACATAACCTGTCGATATTAATAAAATTGTTGGCTTCCATTGGTCCCATTCGGAAGTTGCTCTCAATGGAGGAGTTAGACGACTTCCATTGCCTCCATTCAGAAATTTTTCTCAATGGATAAATGTGCCAACCCTGATAATAAGTGATCAAAGGATTATTTCTAGCCTATTATAATGTTAAATTTCTTTGTCTATTATATTGATTGCCATTTATTATTGTGGCTTTTAAACTGTGATACGTACATAATGTTGTTAGGCGAAACCATTTTGGGCAAATGGCGAAAGACGAAACCTAAACGCGGCGAAAGATGAAAGACGAAACTCCCCGGCGAAACTGGCGAAATCTTGAGAAACTGGCGAAACCTGGCGAAACTGGCAAACCTGGCGAAATCTCGGAGAAATTCAAACCTCAGCAACTATCAAATCCTCTAAGACTTTGGAAATGACTAAACCGTGTTGGTGAATGAAAATATTTTGCGAGCTATTAAGTACAGCATGTGGCTTATATAAAAAATTTATAAAAAAGCGATAAACAAAGAGATAGCATTTTGTTTGTATTCGGGTACTATTAAAAGAAAATTAGGCTTCAAACTTTTGATGAAAATAATTTGCGTGTG